ACTTATTCATATGTTGTATCAGTTTTATGTTTATTACTATGTAGTTATTAAGTACAGTGTATTTAGTATTACAATGTTGTAATACTAAATACACTGTACTTACATAGATGCCTTGTCGTTTCTCTGCTCCGCGAGCAGAAATCGGGGTTTAGTGCAATAAATTCACTAACCATCAATGCGTCAATTCTTGGCAGATTTGTGCTTTCTGTTTTCACAAAGCCGGCATCCATAATTAGTTTTTTCAAAAAAAAAACAGTAAACGGAAACTTTTCTAAAGTTAAAAGTGTTTTAAGATAAATTTAGTCAGACTAAAGAATCCACCCACAGTAACACGCGAATGACATTTAGTTGTTTACCATAAGAGACGCCACAATCATGGCGGATGTGGCGAACAGCGTTTTTAGTGTTTAAAAAATATAGACTAAAAAATATTTTTTAAAATTACATTTCTACAGCAATCTTCTGCTTTTATGAAGTGAAATCGATATATTTAGGTTCCTTAGACCAAATACTTTAAGAAATAAACATTTATTTAATACAATTCGACAAGTGTCAACTAGCCTATTGGTTCGCTTGCGTTATTTAAAGCGGGAAAAAGAAAAAAGAACGAATTACAAAATCTATCAGTGCCAGTGAGGAGAGCGGGGCATTAGCGGCACCTGCGACGGCGACGAATCAAAGCGGACCTAATGAGGTGAACGCGGGCGGAACCTACCAGATATCCGATCTTGACTCTATGGAAATGAGCGGGCCGCGCTCTTACTCTGTGCCCACTTTTTTTTATTTTTTTTTTGTTTACGGTACGCTGTTTTAAAATTTTTATTTTTTGGCAATACTGGTAGGAATTTTTAAGCATTTATTGTGTACTGATAACTTTTGACGTGAGTTATGAAAATAGTTGAGTTATAAGTTATTTTTATAAGAAAATATGAAACAAGAGGAATAAACTGAAATTAATAAATAGCAAAGTGTTTTCTGAAAAATAAAAACATGTTTTCAGCTTTAATCAGAAGAAATATAATTTATTTGACTAATGAATAAATTTAAAACTTCCTACTCTATATCTTAGTAACTTTAGTACCTACGAGTAAGTATAACACATTTAACTTCGACGTTTGCAAACAAAAAAGCACCAACTCAAAATCGAATTAATTCTTAATGCCGACAGTCTCAGAGTTCATGAGTGCCAGACGAGTTATCGACATGCCAACATTATCTCCACCGCAGTTAAGCTAGAATTTAAAACGGTTCAGACTTTATACCCGATTAAAGTGCTTTGCATGCAGTCTCAGATGGCACCTTTGACGCACAGGCGGCCATTTACACGGAAAACTGTGTTTTTTTTACATTTCATTTAGGTGCATTTCTGAAATGTTTTCTTTTTTGCGTTTTCTCTCTGCAAACAGTGTGTTTTTTCATGTCTCCAAAGGAAGTAATTTAATGAGATTTCGTACAGCTCTTGTATGGACATTGCCAGCCGTATCACAAAGGACGCAAGTGAAATGATTAACTTTTAAAAATGAGCTTTGAAAATTAACATGTATCAAAAGTATTATAACTATACCTACATAACATACCTTACTCTTTTACTTGTTGTAATTGTAATCACAACTGTCCCGACTTAAATAATCGGACAAGTGCAAGTCAGACTCGCCCATAGAGGGTTCCTTACGGGTTTCCCGAAAAAAACGGCCGTATCTTTTTACACTTTAATTCAGAAGCTTGGTTTTTTCCCAGCTTCACGGGACCATAAACTTGAGTTTATGATTTTAATTTTAACTGGATACCTCCACGCGTTTCCGACATAAAAGGTCTCAACAGATAGACAACGTGAACCTATTAGAATCGGCTTTTCCCTTTTTAAATATGAAACCCTAAAAATAATAAAATAAGCTGTACATTAAGATCAATTAAAAGAAAAATAACTACGTATGTATACATAGCACACCTTATTCAATTGTTCTGATTTAAAAAAATGCTTATAATAGTTTTCTTTGTCATATAAGGAGTTGCTCAATAAGGAAACTGTATAAGCTAATAAATACTCTGTTCTATTTTCAATTTTCTCACACTCAACGATCCTTGTGTGTGCGTTCCGAAACGTGTACGGACAGCTAATTATTCTAATTAGGAACAAGTTTTTATGCGCAACCCGATACGTTGGTCGGTAGTCTTGAAGCCGGCGCGATCCATACGTCCGATAAAACGGACTGATTGGCTGTGATGTATATTTGTTATAGTACAGTACGGACGCCATTCGCGGTGGCCTCAGCTATGAGAACTCTTAGTGTATCAGTGATAGGATCTCTATATTTCCTTATCTCGGTTTTTCTATCGTGCCGTAGGAAATGTGTGCCTACTGGTTGTTCTTGCTTACGTAGTACTTTTAAACGAGATGGTGTTTCTGATTGAGAACATAGTGTAGCCATTGTGTTTGCACTTTGAATTGAATGAATACATTTTGCGTTGCGTATATTTTTCTGTTTAGTTTTTTTTTTTTGAGATTCCAAATATAAAGTTTTGGAATCACATGACCTGCGTTTTGTTTAAGGTTTGCTCCATTTAGAAATTTCATTTAATATTTTTTGGCTAGTTTTATTATTATAGTTAAGTTCAAGATTAAAGCTAAAAAGGTTTTTTTTTGGTCAATTTGTCCCTGTTGGGACGGGCAAAGGATTCTGAGTCCATACAGCCCTGTCTGTAAACTTTTCTCCCTTAAAGTGTTTTCACAGTAGCTTTTATAAATTTGTATAAAGGATTTGTAGGTGTCGTTATTTTGTAAAGGTTATTCTTTTAACCATCTAAAGATCTTTTGTATTTAGAAATAAGCCAGTTTGGTTTTCCTAAATTAAGATCTACCTAACAGAAGATCACAGTAAAAAACACCACTTTTTTATAGTTTTGTTTCTGGCTGTGAGGTAAGGTTCCAGGGCTCCATGGGGTAGGGCTTTTGGTCAGGGTAGGCAACGGCGCTAGTGATATTTTTTGGTATCGCAAACGTCTGTCGGCTATGGTGGCCGCTTGCCATCAGGCGGGCCATACGGCTTTTAACATAAGAAAAAAAAACGAATATTTTTTGTTCGATGAGAACGAAATATTTGTTTAATTAGTGGCATACTTGTTTATATGTATATACCTACATACTTATTAATTTCTTATATATATTAAAATATATTTCGTAACCTTATGGTCGCCGCACATGGGCTACCGGCCACAACCACAAAACGCCGCCACCGGCATATTTCCTGTACTTTTCATACATGTTAACGCCGCTGGCCAATACACGCTACAAATCGTCGTTGCTCGCTTCTTGTGGCCCGCATCGGCCACTAATGCGCCGATATAAAATGCCGCCACATGTCACTCGCGCGACTCCCCACATTCAAACCTTCTTCGTTAGAGTCCATTATGATATTGCACGCATGTGTTAAAAAAAGTCGACCACCGGCCACCAGTGGCTGTCACGCGCTTCAGCTTCCTTTGTAGCCGCTTCTAGCTTCTCGTGGCGGCGTTTGTGGCTGTCGCGTGTGGCTCGTGTGCGGCGACCCTTAGTAGAAGCTCTGCTTGCGAATGTCTAAATCAATAATTTGAGTTCTCTCAAATCATTAACGTTATTCCTCCAATGTCATTCATCCTTTCATAGAGATATGACGATGACACAATTAAATGACTTATTAAATTGTATCACAAATCATTCATAGGCATAGAGCAAAATAATAAGAGCTGTACTACTCATATGAAAAAAAAAACGCCGCCGCCATTAGTGTCCGAACCCAATGTAGCCACTCGAACCACTCGCTTTGACACACATTCAGGGGCACTTCCACCTTCCAGGGGAGAAATATCAAAGTGAAACCGTTCGATCGGACCTTGAAAAGATCAAAAAGCCGCCACTCGACTCGCTCGTGTCGCGATTGCCTTTGGTTTGGTTATGATCGGAGTTGTGACGTGAAGTTGTCTCGGGAGGGCCCTACTTATTTTATAGGGAAAAGTTGTGTTTGCTAACTTAGTTTCCTTGTTCCTTGTTGCGAATTTCATATTACATACGTGGCGAGGCTTTATTATTACTAATACTAACTTCGATGTTGACTTATTGGTTTTTCGTGGTTTTGATATTACACGGTGGCTACGAGTTAATTTAGGTATTTTACATATTTTTACGCGTCAGCCAAAAAACAGATTGTTGTATTTTCAGGGTTCATGTGTGTTTATGTATATTAAATTCTTTATTTATATTTATTCCGCTATCATTTCGAAATGCCTTAGCCGATTTAGATGTATATGGTATCATTAGAATCATTTCACCATAACCCGCATTCTGTGTCTTTTTCTAGAGATTTTCTTTTTAAATTTAGGAAAATTATAAATTTATTTTATAACCTCTGATCTTTCTTTTACCAGCTTTCTAAATAACAGCTTCATTTATCTGTTGACTTCTCTTGTCAAAGGACATGTTTCGAAAATTTCCTGTTATTTGACAATTTCTCCATTTGACATGGTTAGTTATCGCCAAGTTCACATACTGTAATCCTTGATATACATAAAATATTCAGATTAATCTGAGTTGTATTGTCCTTAAGCATTATTCTTTCCTAATTTAACATGTATTGTTCATCGCATTGGTACTAGTAACACACACGACCGGACGAGCAACAGCCTCTCAGCCGTACTAGAAAAAAACCAACAACAAAAAGCGGACATGACTACCGTTTGCCGTCCCAATGGGTGGCACCTATCTCTCTCATCTCACTTCATTACTACCATATCGCATCGATCATTATCGGGGATCACGAACGCCGCAGCTATTTGTACTATGCAACAAAAGATGGCGCTTTCCAACTAACACAATTCAGCACCATCATCCACCAATTAGTATCGGCGCTCTCGCTCATTCGTATAGCAATGGAGCTAGACAGAAGATGCCCGGCATTGATTGTAATTGATGATCCAAAATCGGGGTCAATAAGTTTCTTTAAACGTGATGTTTTTTTTGTTCGCAGGTCACGACACGACACGATGCGTTTGCCGGCAATTTTTTCGGAGTTATCTTGAATTGCGGGGGATATGCTATTCTAGACAATAGTGAACGTTATTCTTTTTTTATCGCGAGAGTTTTTAAAGAATTGCTAAGGTTTAAGTTGGGGTGTTTTGTGTCGAGGTTGCTGTTTGGGGTTATAGATGGAATTTCACCTAACCTAATGACAATTGCTAGAATTTGAGTTGGGGTGTTTTGTTTTGAGGGTGCTATTTAGGAGTATAGGTAAAATCTAGCCAGGTTTAAAGCTGAAAGGTTTTGAGGCAATTTCGCGGGGATATTTAAATTGTAGGCAGAACCTGATTAGCCTTAAAAGTTGGGGAAGTTAAAGCCTTCCGCTGGGGGGTTTTTTCAGGGGAGTTTTCGTGGGGAGCGGGGTAGATAGCGGGGTGGCTTTGCACGGGGGGTGGGGGCGGGCTCCGGCGCCCGCGCACGCCGCCACCACGCTGGTGGGAGGGCTGGTGCCGCCGCCGCGGGAACCCACCACGGCGGCAGAGGCCTTCTGGAAGATGCCCCATAAAGGTTCGTATTTCTGACATTAATTTAGCCCAATGACATAAGTTACGAGGCGACTATAGGCAATAGACGCTTATGATACCGGAGACAATTCAAACAGTTTCTGTCATTTGATATATCTCATTACTTGTAAATTAAATTGTATTGACTTGCTAGTGAGTTGAAAGGGCACTTCTGTAAACTTTTATATGAATGTAATAAATCCCTACAACACTTTATTATCTAATCATCATCAGCCTATTGATGCCCCCGCTGCTGGGGCACAGGCCTTCCCTCTGGATGGAATAGGAAGATTGGGCCATGACCCGCCACGCGGGCAGGATCAACGGCTTAACGTGCCTTCCGGAGCACGGAGGAACTCGAGATAGAAGATTTTTGGTCACCAATCCAATGCCAAAGTTGCTTAACATCAACGATCGCAGCCGAACGCGGTAACCACCCGCGCCATCGAGCTCCTCAATTATTTATCGCGTTCTTTTAACTCTACAGGCATGATAACGAACCTAACACAATCTTTGTAGTTTCAATCAAAGCAATCCCTTACTTAATAATAAAAATCATCTTACTTATATAATCCAGTTGTATTGGTGCCAAAGCAGAAGTTTTTGCCCGTGATCTGTGGACGGCTAACAAGGTGGCAACTTCTTGTTTACAATTTACAACTAAACAACTTGCTCTAAAAGACGCCAAGTTAGCTGTTGCTGTAAGGTGACGCGACACTATTGAAACTCGCTTTGCTCTCACGCGGATGAGTTTTTGGAATAATATTTATATAGTCGCTTCAAAGAATCGACCAAGTCAAGTTTACCTACGAGTCACGTAAACGAAGAATTCTGAAATATAGTAAAATAATTAATACTGAATAAAGGTAAAACAAGTGGAAAATAAGTTTAAGAGATCAATCAAGCTCTGTGATAGACAGTGAAAGCGCTGGTCCGCTTGTCACCCTAACAACTTAACACATTAACGTTTAAGCGTTCGGGATTTTGCAGTCTGCTGGTTAAAGGTACGAAAAGGCTTTAGATTTTTAATAAAAGCGACAAATCTCCGGCATGTTATTTTATTTGCTGATGTATACGATGCTAGTTTTATTAATAAATTAAAATAAGTAAATAAATAAAATAATAACTGCATATTACTTTCTCGTGTTTATTCTCGAGTGAGAAGCAATCGAGAAACATTAGTAACTTAGTTGAGAAGGTTGAAGCTTGGCGTCATGGTTGCCCGGGCAACCGACGCAGCTGCGCAGACTTTATAGGTACGCTTTGTGGAGAGTCGGACTTTAGACACTTTCAGCATTTTAAGATCTAATGGAGCATTGTAAAAAGTGCTGTCAAAGCATTTGAAACAACATGTAATTTTTGTTTATTTATACTTTTTTACCAAAACAGTACACGGCGGACATTAAGTTTGCCATAGGAATTCTCTACCAGTCAACCAGTACGGGTATTGAATTTGAAAAATTGAAATTACGTTACAATACGGAGCTACTAACGTGAAAATAAAAAAAAGGCGAGTGTGCTTATGACCACATGACTGAAGTGAAACTTCTTTAACTCCAATGATCTGAAAATCATAAACTTAACCTGAAGATTTGTTCATAGAAAAATAACCACCAACCCGCGCTGGTTTCGTTATCACCCACCAATCCGCACTGGGTCCATTATCACCCACCAATCCGCGCTGGGTCCATTACCACCCACCAACCCGCACTGAGTCCGTTATCACACACCAATCCGCGCTGGGTACGTTATCACCCACCAATCCACTCTGGGTCCATTATCACCCACCAATCCGCGCTGGGTCCTTTATCACCCACCAATCCACGCTGGGTCCCTTATCACCCACCAACCCGCGCTGGGTTCATTACCACCCACCAATCCGCACTGGGTCCGTTATCTATTGTTCATTGTTAAGATTCACAATATATTGGGAAAAAATTTACAGTTCGTGGTACTTTGATGTGCGGCTGTCTGTATATGTACAGGAATAATAATTAGTCGGGCAGCTAGCGTGAATGAACCAAGGATTGAAGAATTTATGAGTTTGTGGTTAGCGCGTTCAGCTTGCGATCGTGGAAGTTAAGAAATTTTCGCAATGGTTGGTGATTGGATGGGTGACCAAAAACTTACAATGCCGTGCTCCTCTGTGCTTTGGAAGGCATGTTAAGCTGTTTGTCACGGCTGCATCTGCAGTCGGTAGTCGCACTGGGCTGCGCGGTGGGTCAGGGCCCAATCTCCCTATTCCATCCAAAGGAAAGGCCAGTGCCCCAGCATGAAAGTTAAGCCTATTACAGTGCTGACTTCACGTTTAATCTACATACCTATTTTTCAAGTGCAACTTCTTTAGGCACGCTTGACTTGGGGGGTAAAATGGCAATTGTGTGAGGATTTTAGCGTTACGCGCGTAACGCGTAACCGGTGATTCATCAGTTAAATCGAAGTAAAATAAAGTTTAAAGTCTGTTTGAAAAATATTATTGTTTGAATAGCTCAATCTTTGGCTGCCTGAACCTTAGTAGTGAAAACTTTAAAAGCCTATTGGAGCTTAAATCTATCGGTCTTAATACAAAAGCCGTGTCTTTGTCGTGTCTAACACGGTTTTAAACTTTATTTCAGAAAAATTTGTTTGACATTTTTTTCTCAAACTGTCGTCGCATGTTTATCTTTTCTATGGTATTAACGTATAGGTTTAGTTAGCTGTCGACATTTCCAAAGGATAGGATAATACCGCAATTACATTTGAACCTTAGTCCGTATTCGGGTGCACGAAAGACATTACTCGAATTCGGACACCCGAAGCAACACTTACACTGGAATACGGGCTGGAAGACGGTATCGGGTAAACAAAAGTAAATCTACTCGAATATGAGCGTTCTCGACTCCGTTCATTTACACTTAGTCGTTTACCCGAACTCCATTGGCACTCGAATTCGAGCAAACGATCTAGTGTAATAGCGCCATAATATATGAAGACCATTTTACAAGTAACCGCACAACGTGAAGTTGATGGTTCCTCATGACCGCCTAACTAATTACCTTAAGCTAAGAGCTCGTGAGCAAAAGCTTTTTGGTCACCCATCCGGTTTTCCGCCTCTGATAAAGCTGCTTCATCGCCACAAAGTATCCATACTACATATACAAACTAGAAGTCTTCTCTTAACTCAGAACTTAACCGCTCGTGTCTTAGCAACTGCACCAATTAAGTAAAAGATAAACACGTGGTTTGTGCAGATATTTCGCCACTGTTTGACCAGTCGAGTTGGGAAGTTGTCAAACTTGCTGACTTTCGCGGCAAATAGGGCCCCAACTTAACCCTTCACTTATTTGTTGTTAAGACTACACACCCTGATGTCAAGTTACAAAATTTGAATATGTTACTTGTAATTTGTTTCTTTTACTCTCACCCAGTCAGCGTCTTGATAAGCCTCTAAGTATTTAAATTCGCATTACTAGTATATCCACATAGTTCTATATAAATTATTATAATTCTTTTAAAAGTATTGTATGAAATAATCATATGAATGTCTCAAAGTAAGCAATGTCAAATAAGCGTATGCATCAGAAATAGCGAAGTCCACATGTATTTTTCAGAACCCTCAATGTCCAAACTATTTAATTAATTTTATTGTAGTTACATTGAAAAGTCCCCAAAGGACATTGCTCGTTCCCCATACATTGAATGCCCTAGAACGCCCAGCAATGAGAAAATGCTAGTTGTGTTCGGAATCATTCATAAACTCTAATTAGGCATTTGTTGAGATACGGACAACTTGAGGAACCGTGGCCTACTACAGAATGTATTTGATTTTGAGGTTATAATTATTATACTTAATCGTAAAAGATGTACTTTATATATTCTGAATAGATTTAGTGTTTACCTCTATGTAAGCACTTAAATAATATGCATTAAATGAACATAAAATGCAATTAATAATAAAAATAATAAATGCTTATATTCATATTGATTAATGAGTGTTATCAGTAGTAATAATAGATTTCTTTTCAAATGAAATGTTCAGTCTTTCCATTTACCTGTTTCTATATTTTACTATCGGTAATTAGGTATGTACCTGATTATCATTATGATTTTCATAAAAATAAACAGATATTACATGGGATGGGAGTATAAACTATCTTTACATAATTTCAGAAATAATCTTTTTATAAATATAATACTAGTAATAAGTATTATTAACTAAGGTTTCTCTATTTTTCTTTTGATAAATACATATGGTCGCCTCTAATGCATTTATTAAAGTAAACAATCTTGGCACAACTTTTTAACAGAATCACCCATTTAATAATAAAATATTAACGAAGCCAATAAACTATAAAATAAATCGTTATTATAAACTGAAACCTTTTGAATCCAGTTATCAGTTGATTTTTAATGCTGTTTTTTCAATAAAAAGGAGTGCCAAGTTGGATGAATAGACTGTAGTATCTAGTAACAGAACTTTATTTTTTTATTTTTTTAAACAGATTGTCCGTTTACTATGATTAATTGCTAATATGTTAAAAAAATAATAGAAAGATAATAGTGAAGGACATTCTTTTGGGCATGCTAGGGCCGATTTCGTCGATGTCCTTTTAATAACATGTAATATCTAGAAAATAATTTCAGCCATTCACGAGAATTACAGTAACCAATTACAAGCGAATTACTTATAATAAATTATAAATAATCTTAAAATTAAGATTAGTGATTAAAACTCTCAAACGGACATTTCTGTTTTTGAGTCTAGCAGAATCATATCTCTCATTGGAAGTTCGTAGACGAAGTTTCAGAACAGAAAGTTGTAACAAATATCCAACCTTCAGGTTAGATTTCATGGGCAAAATGTTCCCATTTTGCTTTCAATAAAATCTGAAGACAAATAACAGACATTACTTAAGTTTCAGGTTGTGGAAATGGTTTCCAGATCAACTGCTCATATATACTGCAACTGCCAACTGCTGTATATAAAACAAACGACAATGCTTTAAACAATTTCCATGCTCCTCT